ATCATACCAGCACTAATGCACCGGATCCCATCAGAACTCCGCAGTTAAGCGTGCTTGGGCGAGAGTAGTACTAGGATGGGTGACCTCCTGGGAAGTCCTCGTGTTGCACCTTTTTTTGCGAATTTCCTTCGTTTTTGCCTTCGAGACCTGTGGTCACAGAGGTGCAAGATATTTTCTGTTGCGGTATTTGACATGAAAAAGCAATTTTTGTTTATATTTATGTTTAGTTAAATATGAAGTTAAAAAGATAAAATAAAATTAATTTTTGGTCTGGAAAAAAAAAACACGTGTCGGGAAGCGTTGACCGCGTGTCGGAGCGTTGACCGCGTGTCCAAGACACGTGTCGGGAAACGTTGACCACGTGTCGAAAACGCGTTTCGGAGCGTTGACCGCGTGTCTGAGCGCGTCGGTGTTCGCCACGCATTTTTCACTCCAAATAACGTGTTCGTGCTTCCCAGCCCGTGGCGGGGGAGGGGATAAAGACATTGATCGCGCGAGAATGTGCAGGTGCGATCATACCAGCACTAATGCACCGGATCCCATCAGAACTCCGCAGTTAAGCGTGCTTGGGCGAGAGTAGTACTAGGATGGGTGACCTCCTGGGAAGTCCTCGTGTTGCACCTTTTTTTGCGAATTTCCTTCGTTTTTGCCTTCGAGACCTGTGGTCAATGTTGCGCCGACATGTTAATTCTAAAAAATGTTTGATGTCGACACGTTATGACCCGTTTTGATATTAAATAATTTTTTTAATATCGTTTATATTCAATACACATAGCAGGCCATAAAAAGTCATATAACAGAGGTGCAAGATATTTTCTGTTGCGGTATTTGACATGAAAAAGCAATTTTTGTTTATATTTATGTTTAGTTAAATATGAAGTTAAAAAGATAAAATAAAATTAATTTTTGGTCTGGAAAAAAAAAAACACGTGTCGGGAAGCGTTGACCGCGTGTCGGAGCGTTGACCGCGTGTCCAAGACACGTGTCGGGAAACGTTGACCACGTGTCGAAAACGCGTTTCGGAGCGTTGACCGCGTGTCTGAGCGCGTCGGTGTTCGCCACGCATTTTTCACTCCAAATAACGTGTTCGTGCTTCCCAGCCCGTGGCGGGGGAGGGGATAAAGACATTGATCGCGCGAGAATGTGCAGGTGCGATCATACCAGCACTAATGCACCGGATCCCATCAGAACTCCGCAGTTAAGCGTGCTTGGGCGAGAGTAGTACTAGGATGGGTGACCTCCTGGGAAGTCCTCGTGTTGCACCTTTTTTTGCGAATTTCCTTCGTTTTTGCCTTCGAGACCTGTGGTCAATGTTGCGCCGACATGTTAATTCTAAAAAATGTTTGATGTCGACACGTTATGACCCGTTTTGATATTAAATAATTTTTTTAATATCGTTTATATTCAATACACATAGCAGGCCATAAAAAGTCATATAACAGAGGTGCAAGATATTTTCTGTTGCGGTATTTGACATGAAAAAGCAATTTTTGTTTATATTTATGTTTAGTTAATTATGAAGTTAAAAAGATAAAATAAAATTAATTTTTGGTCTGGAAAAAAAAAACACGTGTCGGGAAGCGTTGACCGCGTGTCGGAGCGTTGACCGCGTGTCCAAGACACGTGTCGGGAAACGTTGACCACGTGTCGAAAACGCGTTTCGGAGCGTTGACCGCGTGTCTGAGCGCGTCGGTGTTCGCCACGCATTTTTCACTCCAAATAACGTGTTCGTGCTTCCCAGCCCGTGGCGGGGGAGGGGATAAAGACATTGATCGCGCGAGAATGTGCAGGTGCGATCATACCAGCACTAATGCACCGGATCCCATCAGAACTCCGCAGTTAAGCGTGCTTGGGCGAGAGTAGTACTAGGATGGGTGACCTCCTGGGAAGTCCTCGTGTTGCACCTTTTTTTGCGAATTTCCTTCGTTTTTGCCTTCGAGACCTGTGGTCAATGTTGCGCCGACATGTTAATTCTAAAAAATGTTTGATGTCGACACGTTATGACCCGTTTTGATATTAAATAATTTTTTTAATATCGTTTATATTCAATACACATAGCAGGCCATAAAAAGTCATATAACAGAGGTGCAAGATATTTTCTGTTGCGGTATTTGACATGAAAAAGCAATTTTTGTTTATATTTATGTTTAGTTAAATATGAAGTTAAAAAGATAAAATAAAATTAATTTTTGGTCTGGAAAAAAAAAAAAACACGTGTCGGGAAGCGTTGACCGCGTGTCGGAGCGTTGACCGCGTGTCCAAGACACGTGTCGGGAAACGTTGACCACGTGTCGAAAACGCGTTTCGGAGCGTTGACCGCGTGTCTGAGCGCGTCGGTGTTCGCCACGCATTTTTCACTCCAAATAACGTGTTCGTGCTTCCCAGCCCGTGGCGGGGGAGGGGATAAAGACATTGATCGCGCGAGAATGTGCAGGTGCGATCATACCAGCACTAATGCACCGGATCCCATCAGAACTCCGCAGTTAAGCGTGCTTGGGCGAGAGTAGTTCTAGGATGGGTGACCTCCTGGGAAGTCCTCGTGTTGCACCTTTTTTTGCGAATTTCCTTCGTTTTTGCCTTCGAGACCTGTGGTCAATGTTGCGCCGACATGTTAATTCTAAAAAATGTTTGATGTCGACACGTTATGACCCGTTTTGATATTAAATAATTTTTTTAATATCGTTTATATTCAATACACATAGCAGGCCATAAAAAGTCATATAACAGAGGTGCAAGATATTTTCTGTTGCGGTATTTGACATGAAAAAGCAATTTTTGTTTATATTTATGTTTAGTTAAATATGAAGTTAAAAAGATAAAATAAAATTAATTTTTGGTCTGGAAAAAAAAAAACACGTGTCGGGAAGCGTTGACCGCGTGTCGGAGCGTTGACCGCGTGTCCAAGACACGTGTCGGGAAACGTTGACCACGTGTCGAAAACGCGTTTCGGAGCGTTGACCGCGTGTCTGAGCGCGTCGGTGTTCGCCACGCATTTTTCACTCCAAATAACGTGTTCGTGCTTCCCAGCCCGTGGCGGGGGAGGGGATAAAGACATTGATCGCGCGAGAATGTGCAGGTGCGATCATACCAGCACTAATGCACCGGATCCCATCAGAACTCCGCAGTTAAGCGTGCTTGGGCGAGAGTAGTACTAGGATGGGTGACCTCCTGGGAAGTCCTCGTGTTGCACCTTTTTTTGCGAATTTCCTTCGTTTTTGCCTTCGAGACCTGTGGTCAATGTTGCGCCGACATGTTAATTCTAAAAAATGTTTGATGTCGACACGTTATGACCCGTTTTGATATTAAATAATTTTTTTAATATCGTTTATATTCAATACACATAGCAGGCCATAAAAAGTCATATAACAGAGGTGCAAGATATTTTCTGTTGCGGTATTTGACATGAAAAAGCAATTTTTGTTTATATTTATGTTTAGTTAAATATGAAGTTAAAAAGATAAAATAAAATTAATTTTTGGTCTGGAAAAAAAAAAAACACGTGTCGGGAAGCGTTGACCGCGTGTCGGAGCGTTGACCGCGTGTCCAAGACACGTGTCGGGAAACGTTGACCACGTGTCGAAAACGCGTTTCGGAGCGTTGACCGCGTGTCTGAGCGCGTCGGTGTTCGCCACGCATTTTTCACTCCAAATAACGTGTTCGTGCTTCCCAGCCCGTGGCGGGGGAGGGGATAAAGACATTGATCGCGCGAGAATGTGCAGGTGCGATCATACCAGCACTAATGCACCGGATCCCATCAGAACTCCGCAGTTAAGCGTGCTTGGGCGAGAGTAGTACTAGGATGGGTGACCTCCTGGGAAGTCCTCGTGTTGCACCTTTTTTTGCGAATTTCCTTCGTTTTTGCCTTCGAGACCTGTGGTCAATGTTGCGCCGACATGTTAATTCTAAAAAATGTTTGATGTCGACACGTTATGACCCGTTTTGATATTAAATAATTTTTTTAATATCGTTTATATTCAATACACATAGCAGGCCATAAAAAGTCATATACAGAGGTGCAAGATATTTTCTGTTGCGGTATTTGACATGAAAAAGCAATTTTTGTTTATATTTATGTTTAGTTAAATATGAAGTTAAAAAGATAAAATAAAATTAATTTTTGGTCTGGAAAAAAAAAAAACACGTGTCGGGAAGCGTTGACCGCGTGTCGGAGCGTTGACCGCGTGTCCAAGACACGTGTCGGGAAACGTTGACCACGTGTCGAAAACGCGTTTCGGAGCGTTGACCGCGTGTCTGAGCGCGTCGGTGTTCGCCACGCATTTTTCACTCCAAATAACGTGTTCGTGCTTCCCAGCCCGTGGCGGGGGAGGGGATAAAGACATTGATCGCGCGAGAATGTGCAGGTGCGATCATACCAGCACTAATGCACCGGATCCCATCAGAACTCCGCAGTTAAGCGTGCTTGGGCGAGAGTAGTACTAGGATGGGTGACCTCCTGGGAAGTCCTCGTGTTGCACCTTTTTTTGCGAATTTCCTTCGTTTTTGCCGTCGAGACCTGTGGTCAATGTTGCGCCGACATGTTAATTCTAAAAAATGTTTGATGTCGACACGTTATGACCCGTTTTGATATTAAATAATTTTTTTAATATCGTTTATATTCAATACACATAGCAGGCCATAAAAAGTCATATAACAGAGGTGCAAGATATTTTCTGTTGCGGTATTTGACATGAAAAAGCAATTTTTGTTTATATTTATGTTTAGTTAAATATGAAGTTAAAAAGATAAAATAAAATTAATTTTTGGTCTGGAAAAAAAAAACACGTGTCGGGAAGCGTTGACCGCGTGTCGGAGCGTTGACCGCGTGTCCAAGACACGTGTCGGGAAACGTTGACCACGTGTCGAAAACGCGTTTCGGAGCGTTGACCGCGTGTCTGAGCGCGTCGGTGTTCGCCACGCATTTTTCACTCCAAATAACGTGTTCGTGCTTCCCAGCCCGTGGCGGGGGAGGGGATAAAGACATTGATCGCGCGAGAATGTGCAGGTGCGATCATACCACCAGCACTAATGCACCGGATCCCATCAGAACTCCGCAGTTAAGCGTGCTTGGGCGAGAGTAGTACTAGGATGGGTGACCTCCTGGGAAGTCCTCGTGTTGCACCTTTTTTTGCGAATTTCCTTCGTTTTTGCCTTCGAGACCTGTGGTCAATGTTGCGCCGACATGTTAATTCTAAAAAATGTTTGATGTCGACACGTTATGACCCGTTTTGATATTAAATAATTTTTTTAATATCGTTTATATTCAATACACATAGCAGGCCATAAAAAGTCATATAACAGAGGTGCAAGATATTTTCTGTTGCGGTATTTGACATGAAAAAGCAATTTTTGTTTATATTTATGTTTAGTTAAATATGAAGTTAAAAAGATAAAATAAAATTAATTTTTGGTCTGGAAAAAAAAAACACGTGTCGGGAAGCGTTGACCGCGTGTCGGAGCGTTGACCGCGTGTCCAAGACACGTGTCGGGAAACGTTGACCACGTGTCGAAAACGCGTTTCGGAGCGTTGACCGCGTGTCTGAGCGCGTCGGTGTTCGCCACGCATTTTTCACTCCAAATAACGTGTTCGTGCTTCCCAGCCCGTGGCGGGGGAGGGGATAAAGACATTGATCGCGCGAGAATGTGCAGGTGCGATCATACCAGCACTAATGCACCGGATCCCATCAGAACTCCGCAGTTAAGCGTGCTTGGGCGAGAGTAGTACTAGGATGGGTGACCTCCTGGGAAGTCCTCGTGTTGCACCTTTTTTTGCGAATTTCCTTCGTTTTTGCCTTCGAGACCTGTGGTCAATGTTGCGCCGACATGTTAATTCTAAAAAATGTTTGATGTCGACACGTTATGACCCGTTTTGATATTAAATAATTTTTTTAATATCGTTTATATTCAATACACATAGCAGGCCATAAAAAGTCATATAACAGAGGTGCAAGATATTTTCTGTTGCGGTATTTGACATGAAAAAGCAATTTTTGTTTATATTTATGTTTAGTTAAATATGAAGTTAAAAAGATAAAAAAAATTAATTTTTGGTGGAAAAAAAAAAACACGTGTCGGGAAGCGTTGACCGCGTGTCGGAGCGTTGACCGCGTGTCCAAGACACGTGTCGGGAAACGTTGACCACGTGTCGAAAACGCGTTTCGGAGCGTTGACCGCGTGTCTGAGCGCGTCGGTGTTCGCCACGCATTTTTCACTCCAAATAACGTGTTCGTGCTTCCCAGCCCGTGGCGGGGGAGGGGATAAAGACATTGATCGCGCGAGAATGTGCAGGTGCGATCATACCAGCACTAATGCACCGGATCCCATCAGAACTCCGCAGTTAAGCGTGCTTGGGCGAGAGTAGTACTAGGATGGGTGACCTCCTGGGAAGTCCTCGTGTTGCACCTTTTTTTGCGAATTTCCTTCGTTTTTGCCTTCGAGACCTGTGGTCAATGTTGCGCCGACATGTTAATTCTAAAAAATGTTTGATGTCGACACGTTATGACCCGTTTTGATATTAAATAATTTTTTTAATATCGTTTATATTCAATACACATAGCAGGCCATAAAAAGTCATATAACAGAGGTGCAAGATATTTTCTGTTGCGGTATTTGACATGAAAAAGCAATTTTTGTTTATATTTATGTTTAGTTAAATATGAAGTTAAAAAGATAAAATAAAATTAATTTTTGGTCTGGAAAAAAAAAACACGTGTCGGGAAGCGTTGACCGCGTGTCGGAGCGTTGACCGCGTGTCCAAGACACGTGTCGGGAAACGTTGACCACGTGTCGAAAACGCGTTTCGGAGCGTTGACCGCGTGTCTGAGCGCGTCGGTGTTCGCCACGCATTTTTCACTCCAAATAACGTGTTCGTGCTTCCCAGCCCGTGGCGGGGGAGGGGATAAAGACATTGATCGCGCGAGAATGTGCAGGTGCGATCATACCAGCACTAATGCACCGGATCCCATCAGAACTCCGCAGTTAAGCGTGCTTGGGCGAGAGTAGTACTAGGATGGGTGACCTCCTGGGAAGTCCTCGTGTTGCACCTTTTTTTGCGAATTTCCTTCGTTTTTGCCTTCGAGACCTGTGGTCAATTGTTGCGCCGACATGTTAATTCTAAAAAATGTTTGATGTCGACACGTTATGACCCGTTTTGATATTAAATAATTTTTTTAATATCGTTTATATTCAATACACATAGCAGGCCATAAAAAGTCATATAACAGAGGTGCAAGATATTTTCTGTTGCGGTATTTGACATGAAAAAGCAATTTTTGTTTATATTTATGTTTAGTTAAATATGAAGTTAAAAAGATAAAATAAAATTAATTTTTGGTCTGGAAAAAAAAAACACGTGTCGGGAAGCGTTGACCGCGTGTCGGAGCGTTGACCGCGTGTCCAAGACACGTGTCGGGAAACGTTGACCACGTGTCGAAAACGCGTTTCGGAGCGTTGACCGCGTGTCTGAGCGCGTCGGTGTTCGCCACGCATTTTTCACTCCAAATAACGTGTTCGTGCTTCCCAGCCCGTGGCGGGGGAGGGGATAAAGACATTGATCGCGCGAGAATGTGCAGGTGCGATCATACCAGCACTAATGCACCGGATCCCATCAGAACTCCGCAGTTAAGCGTGCTTGGGCGAGAGTAGTACTAGGATGGGTGACCTCCTGGGAAGTCCTCGTGTTGCACCTTTTTTTGCGAATTTCCTTCGTTTTTGCCTTCGAGACCTGTGGTCAATGTTGCGCCGACATGTTAATTCTAAAAAATGTTTGATGTCGACACGTTATGACCCGTTTTGATATTAAATAATTTTTTTAATATCGTTTATATTCAATACACATAGCAGGCCATAAAAAGTCATATAACAGAGGTGCAAGATATTTTCTGTTGCGGTATTTGACATGAAAAAGCAATTTTTGTTTATATTTATGTTTAGTTAAATATGAAGTTAAAAAGATAAAATAAAATTAATTTTTGGTCTGGAAAAAAAAAAACACGTGTCGGGAAGCGTTGACCGCGTGTCCAAGACACGTGTCGGGAAACGTTGACCACGTGTCGAAAACGCGTTTCGGAGCGTTGACCGCGTGTCTGAGCGCGTCGGTGTTCGCCACGCATTTTTCACTCCAAATAACGTGTTCGTGCTTCCCAGCCCGTGGCGGGGGAGGGGATAAAGACATTGATCGCGCGAGAATGTGCAGGTGCGATCATACCAGCACTAATGCACCGGATCCCATCAGAACTCCGCAGTTAAGCGTGCTTGGGCGAGAGTAGTACTAGGATGGGTGACCTCCTGGGAAGTCCTTGTGTTGCACCTGTGGTCAATGTTGCGCCGACATGTTAATTCTAAAAAATGTTTGATGTCGACACGTTATGACCCGTTTTGATATTAAATAATTTTTTTAATATCGTTTATATTCAATACACATAGCAGGCCATAAAAAGTCATATAACAGAGGTGCAAGATATTTTCTGTTGCGGTATTTGACATGAAAAAGCAATTTTTGTTTATATTTATGTTTAGTTAAATATGAAGTTAAAAAGATAAAATAAAATTAATTTTTGGTCTGGAAAAAAAAAAAAACACGTGTCGGGAAGAAACGTTGACCGCGTGTCGGAGCGTTGACCGCGTGTCCAAGACACGTGTCGGGAAACGTTGACCACGTGTCGAAAACGCGTTTCGGAGCGTTGACCGCGTGTCTGAGCGCGTCGGTGTTCGCCACGCATTTTTCACTCCAAATAACGTGTTCGTGCTTCCCAGCCCGTGGCGGGGGAGGGGATAAAGACATTGATCGCGCGAGAATGTGCAGGTGCGATCATACCAGCACTAATGCACCGGATCCCATCAGAACTCCGCAGTTAAGCGTGCTTGGGCGAGAGTAGTACTAGGATGGGTGACCTCCTGGGAAGTCCTCGTGTTGCACCTTTTTTTGCGAATTTCCTTCGTTTTTGCCTTCGAGACCTGTGGTCAATGTTGCGCCGACATGTTAATTCTAAAAAATGTTTGATGTCGACACGTTATGACCCGTTTTGATATTAAATAATTTTTTTAATATCGTTTATATTCAATACACATAGCAGGCCATAAAAAGTCATATAACAGAGGTGCAAGATATTTTCTGTTGCGGTATTTGACATGAAAAAGCAATTTTTGTTTATATTTATGTTTAGTTAAATATGAAGTTAAAAAGATAAAATAAAATTAATTTTTGGTCTGGAAAAAAAAAAACACGTGTCGGGAAGCGTTGACCGCGTGTCGGAGCGTTGACCGCGTGTCCAAGACACGTGTCGGGAAACGTTGACCACGTGTCGAAAACGCGTTTCGGAGCGTTGACCGCGTGTCTGAGCGCGTCGGTGTTCGCCACGCATTTTTCACTCCAAATAACGTGTTCGTGCTTCCCAGCCCGTGGCGGGGGAGGGGATAAAGACATTGATCGCGCGAGAATGTGCAGGTGCGATCATACCAGCACTAATGCACCGGATCCCATCAGAACTCCGCAGTTAAGCGTGCTTGGGCGAGAGTAGTACTAGGATGGGTGACCTCCTGGGAAGTCCTCGTGTTGCACCTTTTTTTGCGAATTTCCTTCGTTTTTGCCTTCGAGACCTGTGGTCAATGTTGCGCCGACATGTTAATTCTAAAAAATGTTTGATGTCGACACGTTATGACCCGTTTTGATATTAAATAATTTTTTTAATATCGTTTATATTCAATACACATAGCAGGCCATAAAAAGTCATATAACAGAGGTGCAAGATATTTTCTGTTGCGGTATTTGACATGAAAAAGCAATTTTTGTTTATATTTATGTTTAGTTAAATATGAAGTTAAAAAGATAAAATAAAATTAATTTTTGGTCTGGAAAAAAAAAAAACACGTGTCGGGAAGCGTTGACCGCGTGTCGGAGCGTTGACCGCGTGTCCAAGACACGTGTCGGGAAACGTTGACCACGTGTCGAAAACGCGTTTCGGAGCGTTGACCGCGTGTCTGAGCGCGTCGGTGTTCGCCACGCATTTTTCACTCCAAATAACGTGTTCGTGCTTCCCAGCCCGTGGCGGGGGAGGGGATAAAGACATTGATCGCGCGAGAATGTGCAGGTGCGATCATACCAGCACTAATGCACCGGATCCCATC